GAAAATCGCCATAGGAAACATCGCTAAACGAAACGCGGTTCCCCAATTGAAATGCATTGAAACCTATTCAATGCATCTCAATGGGGGGAAAAATACAACAACAAATTACAAAAGAGTCAGAACAAAGTCAAATTTGGTTAACAAAGGGTTTATTAAGTGCACTTTATGAATTCAAACATGAGGCTGTTTAAACCAGTGGTTCTTAACCTTTGTTACCCGGATGCTTTTGAACTGCAACTCCCAGAAACCCCAGTCAGGACAGCTGGTGGTGAAGGCTTCTGGGAGTTGCAGTCCAAAACTCAAGGTTAAGAACCAGTGGTTTAAACCATCGTTAAGCCAAACAGGGGACCCAAAATTTAATCGCTATGCGAAGCATGGTCCCAACCATCGCTAAGCGAAAATCGCCCATAGGGACCATCACTAAACAAAGCGCAAAAATACTCTGAAAAAGTCATCGCTAAGCGATTTTGTCGCTAAATGGAGCACCCATTAAGCTAGGCACCACTGTACACTAAAATGCACACATGAACAGTTTAAATGTTTGAAAAAAGTATAGATTTTGAAGAGACAACTAAGAAGACACCAAGATGCAAAAAACCAAATAATTACAGTGATGCCTTGTATAACAAGTGCCCCGTTTAACGATGAATCCACATAACGATGCGGATTTTGCGATTTTTCCCCATAGGCCCCATTTCCCCCCAGCTGACCGGCGGCGCTTCTGAGTGACCGTGGTGGAGGCTTCCCCGGCGGGTGCTCGGAGGCCAGCACTGCCCAGCTGGGGGGGAGAAGGTTGGAGCGCCCACGGTGGACACTTCCCCGGAGGTTGCTCTGAAGCCTGTGCTGCCCAGCTGGGCAGCGCTGGCTTCAGAGCAACCTCCAGGGAAGCGTCCACCGCGGGTGCTCGGAAGCCAGCACCGCCCAGCTGGGGGGAAATGACCGCCCGCAGTGTTTTCGCGCCTCGCTTACCGTGGTGGCAAAAATGGGGCCGGATGGGGGATTCTTCGCTTACCGGTGAGGTTTTCCCCAATAGGAACGCATTAAACAGAGTTTAATACGTTCCTATGGGTTCCCCCCACCGCATAGCGAAGAATCCGGATAGCGACGTTAATCCTGGAACGAATTAACGTCGCTATGCGGGGCACCACTGTATAAGCAACCCATGTAACACGACGTTTAACAAACATGAATTGAATGTAGATAGATTGAAAAACTAATTAATTTTTTTTTAAAAAAAGAAAGCACACTAGTGAGAGTTCTTCTGACATAGCATACCTGTTACAGCTTAAAACTTTCTTTTGAATTTGGCTGCACACGAGTCAGCATAAAGCCTGGTCTTCATTATTCTGAATAGGTAAGTTTGGTTTGACCATGAAGGAAGGTCAAATGTTCTGGCTTCAAGTCACAGAAGTTCAACAGAAAACAAGTCATCCAAATAGAAAACTTCTGTGAAGAATTTCGAGACAGAAACGTTGATCTATCCATAGTTTGGCATTCAAAATAAGCTTGTAAATTACACATAGCACATATAGCATGAGAAGTGGAATTCATATTGTAACCTTCTTCAGGGTTTTCCAGGTAGGGAATACTCAGGAGTAACTTAGTATTCCCATCTTCTGGGGGCATTCTGGGACTATGCTGCTTGCCCAAGGCAACACAGACTGGTTCTACTCACAGGAGGCACAATGGGGATTTGAACTCCCAACCTCTAGCTCCACAGCCAGATACCTAAACCAATGAGCTATCTATTGGTCTCTTGCCAATGTCACTGACATCACTGCAAAATTCATCACCTACCTAGTTGTGGTACCCTTTTTCTAGAATTTTGTTTCCTAACAAGGTTTTCTTAGTACCTTCCTGAATCATTTTCAGATGAAGGCCTTTACTTTAAAAAGGCATTTTAGCTGAAGATATTTTCCTCTTTTCTTTCTCCTTTAATTTGTCTTCTATACTTGTTTTCAATAACTGATATGGAATATTATTATACACTTTCAATGCTATACAGGATGTATATTGCTCATACATATCATATGTGGCTTATTATAAATGATTTAGAGAGCCCTGCTGGTTGCAGTATGTATACTTAATAAATTAGCTAAATCATAAATTTGTTCTTATTGGGCTCCTTGGCCCAGTGACACTTGTGTTTATTTATGCTGATTGATTCAGGAAAAAATGTATATATATGGAATACCATTACTCTGAATATTAGGCACCTGCTTCCATTTAATCCAAGTCACCTTTGCCATGGGTGCATTTTTCAGAGGTTCATGTGTATAGTGCTACGCATTACAAAAATCTAAATATTAAAAACTCTCCCCTTAATTTTACTGACCAAATATAATGGCATAGCTAAAAGCTTGGCTGAACTACCCTAGAAACATCTAGAAACCAAACAGGAAGTTTAATCAAAATTGTAGCCACATCTGTGCTCCAGAGTAATTTGACTGCACCTAATTGTAAGCTTATTTTTTGCATTTATTTCTCATATTTACAGTTTCTGGATAGAAAAACTTTATTATGGTCAAAGATCAGCCACAAATAAAACATCGAAAAATATAAATAAGTATACAAAAATATTTCTATTAACCTGCCTATCCCTGACTTCTGAAGGTACTTACCTTCTACCTCTTACAAACCCATTTCCTGGGATAACAGCCAGCCCTGTTACCTATGTGAAACTCTCTCCCCTCTCCCCTCTTTGTCCTCTAGAATTCTAGAGTCATTTGCCTCAGTCTAGAGCAGGGTAAATGTATGCAACACGGCTCCTATTTCTTTAATAGTGATGCTAAAGACTGAAGTTTAACATATTTTTCCCACTCTTTCATTGACAAGCTATACCTATCAATACACATGTTTTCACGCAGCAGTTTAAAAAAAATGATCTTGTCTTTTGCATCCCGTCTTTCCAGCCCCAGACATAATCCTCTATTTGCTTACTTCCCTAACCGTGTGCATATGACAGTACAGGACTGAAGTCTATATTAATAGCACCTGATTACAAAGGGCATTCAAATTTACCTCAAACAGTTGCATTTTAACTTAATCTACTTTCTTCCAAACCACTGATGGCACGAATTAAAAACACACACACAAATAAGTCCGTATAAGAAGCAAACACACAAAATTCACGACATGCATTTTAAATGAAGTCTTCTAAAAAAATTTGCTGTGTTCGCTATTTGATAAGCCTGTCATTAGGAGGCAGCAGACAGCTCGAAATGTTTTCAAGAATGAAGACTGACTGGCTTGGGCTTCCTGATTGGATTGGAGATGAAGGGAAACAAGTAGAAGGGGGAAAAAAACGTTGGCAGTTCCTGAGGATCATTATTTTTTTACATCAACCCTAAAAGTATATAGTTCTCTTAATATGTTAACAAAACAAAGACTGCCATGAATGGCTCCTGCACATTTACAGAAACTATTCCATAACTTGCTTCAAACATAAGCCCTCACCCCACCCCGGGACTTGCTTGAACTTAATCAGTTTTGACATGACACTAATCTATTCTTCTTTGATGTGACAATAATGTATTCTGTGTATGCTACTACTGTCTAACGAAATATAGGAATCTGCTTTTTTTTCCTCAGTGGATCCAAAAACAAACCAGTACACCACAAAAATGGACTAAAGCTGAATGCAAATCATTCTGCTTCTCATTTGAAGAAGATATTTCAAACATATCCACATTTTACGTATGAATGGTACTAAAGAAAGATTTTTTTGCAAGAATAGAAACCTTATCGTGTTCTTCTCTGGTAATACAAATGAAACAAACCAAAGTTAAATAATAAATTCATGTGCAAAGTTTTTAACATCACAGAACCTAAATGGTTTTCCCCCCAAAAGAACTAAAGTACTAAATGTCTTATCACAAAGGAAAGTATTTAAATATCTGCCTTGTTACCAACAATTAGACTATGGACATAGATTTATTATTCTAAAGCTTACTGTAATAATCAACAAATGATTTTGTACTGAAGTGTAACAACCGCGTTTGTCATGTTTCTCCTCTACTATTACAAACAAGATAATACTGTACAATTCAAAGCTCAAATTGCTGCATAACATGTAGCAATCAAAATACCACCACAAACCTAGAACTTCCAAGTTACCTAAACTGCCCTACTCCAGTTACTTACTAGGACATAGCACAAAACAGTGATACAAAATGAATGCACAAACTTACTGTTGTGATGTCCAGGTTGTCCTTTGGGATTGTGACTCAGCTGACAAAGAGAAAGCTGTTTGACAAAACAGGGAAACATTAGCCAATACGGAAAAGATTGGAAATCCAGCTTTGTTCAAGTATTTTTAATTATACATTCTTCTTAAGTGAGGTAAATAAATCTACAGATTGCTTTAGAGGTATTCCCATAATATCCAAAGGATGCATTAGCTATCTTCAGCTGTTAAAGACAAATCCAAAATGATGAGGTCAGTCAGTCTTGCTTGTTAAGTTTGCTGGAAGAGAACAGGACTGAAACTCCAAAATATTTTAAATACATTACCCAATTATCTGCCTCTTCTCTTTCCCCTTCTGCCTCTCCATTCATATTTTTCTCTTCCCACCAAATGCATATGGTTTGTTTCTTCCTGTGCCCTGGATAAGGCCTGGCTTTGAAATACATTTCAGTCTCTCAACACAGACAGCTTTCACTGCATTTAGAGTCCCACCAAGGCCCGGCTTTAAAAGCTACTGATTCTTTTTTTCCCCTTCTTCTTTAGCTTTCCTCACAAAAGAAGGGTATTTTGTAAATTACCAGCTCGTTCAGATCAACAAAAGGTACTTTCATAGAAAGCCCCATTTGATTTTGCTCAAATTTGATTACAAGGATGGAGGAAAAAGGAAAGGAAGTCAAAAAAGAAAAACCCCAGATGGCTTTTTTCATTCATCTCAGTGAATGAGCTTTATCTGTGCCTTTTGAAACTGTAGCAGTGGAAAAGCATTTCTGTTGGCTTAAAAAACTTGACAAAAATTATTGGTTTGCCATTTCTCATGTAACTGCCATTGGGAACTGGATGAAAAGACTTTTTTTTCATGGGATCGCCTGCTTGGATCAAAATAATGGAGATTAGGTATTTCATTATAAATTACAGTGGGAGATAGAGAGAGGCTGTCATATTAATAGCAACCTGCTCGTGGTCTTCAGTGGTAGCTATTCTCCTAGACAAAGGACCAAGGGGGTTGTCTATTGAACTTGTGCTTTAAGGCCCGATCAATTTTCTATCATCAAGGCAAAAGGTGAGATGACGAACAAAAGAATTCACACATGAGTGACCTCATGAGCTAAGAGATAAAACAGCTTAAAGAAACAAAACACATCCTGAAATTATGGGTGATAAACTGTATAAAAGAAGAAGGAGGAGGAAAAAAAAGAGAGGGGTGGAGGGGGCAGAGAGTATGCATTGGACTATAATTCTTTCTTTTCTTAAGCATATGGACACATTAAAAGCTACTTGTTTTCAGGCACGCTATAATTGCAGCATTTGTTTTGAAGGGTTCTGACTTGAATCTTGCTGTGTACTCGGTCCTCAACAGGGTTCCCGTGATTTCATTCATGAGTAAGCATGCTATTGTGTGTGTTGCAGGATGCCCAAGAACCCACACAAAGGATTACTACTTATGCCAGCAACAACAGCAGCAGCAGCAATATTGGTATAAAAAGACTATACAAGATAGTCATTGCATTGCACCTTCATGCTGCGCCATTTGGAGAAAGTCTTCTTAAACAAGTGGACAAACTTAGAACCATGCCTCATACTCCTTTCTAGTTCATGGACATGTTCCCAGGACCCATATTAACAGGCTCTATAGCCAAGCACATCTTTGGTAAAGGTAAAGGTTCCCCTTGACATTTAGTCCGACTCTAGGGGGCGGTGCTCATCCCCGTTTCCAAGCCATAAAGCCAGCGTTTGTCTGAAGACAGTTTCCGTGGTCATGTACCCAGTGCAACTAGACACAGAACGCCCTACCACCGAGGTGGTACCTATTTATCTACTCACATTTTACATGCTTTCGAACTGCTAGGTTGGCAGGAGCTGGGACAAGCGACGGGAGATCACTCTGTCGTGTGAATTTGATCTTACGACGGCTGCTCTTCCAACCTTGCAGTACAGAGGCTTCTGTGGTTTAACCCGCAGCGCCACCACGTCTCTAAGCACATCTTTACTACTGAATTATTTATACATTTGTCACCAAATACCCAGGACTGGGAAACATATCTGAGATCCCAATAAACTACTGCCAGTAGTCTGACACAGTACTGTGGAATAGTTGGGACTAGAGATGGGGGTATTCGTATATGAATATCCCCGCACAGGTGGTGTGGGGATATTCATATATCCCCACACCACCTGTGGGGATATCGGCTTCCTGTAACTTGAGCCCATTATTGCATGTCCTGCACTCTGGGATGATCGAGAACAGATTCTGCCCCTCCTCTGTATGACAGCCTTTCAAATATTTGAAAAGTGTTATCATATCACCCCTCAGTCTTCTTTTCTCAAGGCTAAACATGCCCAATTATTTCAGCTTTTCTTCATAAGGCTTGGTTTCCAGCCTCCTGATCATCCTGGTCGCCCTTCTCTGAACTTGTTCCAATTTGTTAACATCATCTTTGAAATGTAGTGTTGAGAACTGGATACAATACTCAAGGTGAGGCCTAACCAGTGCTGAATGGGGGGGGGGGGACTACCACCTTGCAGGATTTGGAAACTATACTTCTATTAATGCAGCCTAAAATACCATTTGCCTTTTTTGTAGCCACATCACACTGTTGGCTCATATTTAGCTTATGATCTACAACAATTCCAAGATCCTTCTCATTCGTTGTTTTGCTGAGCCAGGTATACCCTATCTTGTAATTGTGCAATTGGTTTCTTTTTCCAAGGTGCAGTACTTGGCACTTATCCCTGTTGAATTTCATTCTGTTGCTTTTGGCCCAGTGTTCCATCTTATCAAGGTCATTTTGAATTTTGTTTCTGTCTTCTAGGGTATTAGCTCTTCTGCCCAATTTTGTATCATATGTGAATTTAACAAGCATTCCCTGCACTCTCTCATCCACTCCATCATACAACCTAAATCCATCTTTCTGCCTTTGTGTTTGGCATCCTTCATGATTGCTTGCTTGTTGACCAGTGTGTGGGAGTACCCCTCTTTGCAATCAAGCGTCTGCCTCTTTGCCCTGGCTTTTGAAAAGTTTAGGACCTTCAAGGTCTCTCAGGGCCGAGTCAGCTGATTCAAGCTGCCCTCACCCTCAGTTGGCTAGCTGCCTGGAGAAGGAAGCTATATAAACTGATTCACTATAGGGGGCAAGTCTACCAATGGCCAGGGTTGCCACCCAGGGCAGCAACACCAAAGAGAGTTGACCCTTTGGGGGTTGCCACTTCAGGGCATTCAATAGAGGAAGGGGCAGGACCCCTGTTTAATTGAATTGAGAGCCAGTTGCTTGATATTGCTTGCTCTTTTAATACTGAAGAACTATCATAAATAATCTAGGAGTGGGAGGACATTGTTTCAAGGAGGAGAGGGTTCTGAAGGGAAGCAGTCTTCAAAAATGTAGAAAATAGAAAGATACATAGTGGGGAGAGGCAGTTGTATCATCATAAAAGAGGGGATAGAAAAAGTGTTTTGGTTTTCCCCAAACTCTCTCCCAGTCTGGTCTGGACAGCTGTGGTGATGGTCCCTCTGGTCAAAGAATGCTGTTGCTGAATGCCTTGCCAACAACCATTGAAAATTTGATCCTAGGTAAGCATGTTGACCTGATTGGATGGATCCAGGTGAGTAAAGATTTCCATGTTCTGCCCATCACAATACTCTGTGCAGCAGCAAGTAAGACCTGGAGGGAGGGGATGGGAAGTTGCAGTGGTTTACTGTGATTCAGTTTCTTCTACCAGGAGTCCTATCCCAAAGTATGCTGGGTATGAGAGTTTGTACTGAAAGTGGAAGCTTGGAAAAGAATACAGATTTTGTTGGTGTCATCACCAACTGTTGAACAGTTCCCCTGCCTAAGCTAGATGCACTGCTCTCATGATTGCTTTTAGAGTTTATTCGGTTTTGATACTGGGAGCAACATTCATGTTGAAACCGTGCTGTCAAGAATGGTTCAGGACCATGTCTGTAATGATAACCATGAGACTGTCCTAAATAATATCTGGCCCTATTGATGAAGTACAACACAATCTGAACCTGGTTTTCTGTGATGGACAGAACGAATGTGATCTGCTTGTGGAAGAACTCATAATAACTCTGTTATCATGGACACATCACTACCTGACATGGTTTAGACTCACTAGAATCCATAACCTCTGCACAGGTGGTAGACCAGTTTGCTCCAAGAGGCTGAGACAGGTCTTGGAGACCTTCCTGTTGTCTTGCAATCCTACTTAAATCCTGGTTGATCTCTAAAATGGGGAAATGACCAAGGTGGATTACACAATTGCTCCTAAGTGTCCCATTCTGTTAAATCAGGCTTCTCTAGTTTAATAAGGAACTGTTGGCGATGAAGCCAATGTGAAAGAGACTAGAGCAGCAATGGTCTGTTCCATATCATATAGTGATGGTAGTGAAGAAGTATTTTTCTTTACCAGCTTTGCAGCTGCACAGAGTCATCCAGAAAAAACTGTTTTGAGTGGTCAGAGACCAACTACAATTTTGCCCACAAGATCAAGTCCACTGTGAATAATTCACACAACAATATATTGGAACCACAAAACGCAGCATCCCTATCAGAATGAAAGAATATGAAAGACACTGCAGACTAAAACAACCAGAAAAATCAGCAGTAGCTGAACATGCCCTGAAACTAACGGGACATGAAATCTTATTTCAAAACACAGAAGTACTGGACAACACCAGCAATCATTATGTTAGACTAGACAGGGAAGCCACTGAAATCCACAAACACCAGTACAACTTCAACAAAAAAGAAGGAAATCTTTAAAAAATCAACACAGCCTGACTCCCAGCACTGAAAAATACAGCCTGCAAAAAGGTCAATGAACGCTACCCAGCCACAAGGACTGGTGATCACTGCACACCAAAGACTAGCTAATCTCACCCATCAATTACAGTGACAGATCATCTTCCCCCTTATCACAACAAAACACCCATAACCAAAAACACCCTGATCACAGGAAACACCCAATCTCCTAAAAAGAACAAAAACCTGATCCCACAGCTATAGATACTCAAAATACCACACACTACACCAGAACACAGACAGAGTTCTAACTCCTGTCCTCTGAAGATGCCAGCCACAGAGACTGGTGAAACATTAGGAAGAAAAACCTCCAGAACACAGCCAAACAGCCTGAAAAACCCACAACAACCATCAGATCCCAGCCGTGAAAGCCTTCAAGAACACAATTCACACAACACTTTGCAAGTAAAAATCACTCAGGTCCTCTCTGAATTGGATGTTGGAAATAATGAAGGTCCTGTGGATGTAACCTTGGTCTCTGCATGCTCAATATTAATGAAACCATTTTGATTTGTGGAATCTGCAGATGTGGATGGAATCTTTGGAGAGATAAAAACCACAATTTATATTCTGTATCCTTTCACTTCACATATTAT